CAGCCCTGTCCCGGAACAGCAGCGCCCAGGTGAGCACGGCTGGCACAGCTGGCACAGCTGGCACGGCTGGCACACAGCTGGAACACGGCTGGCACACAGCTGGAGCACGGCTGGGCAGCCCTGTCCCAGAACAGCAGCGCCCAGGTGAGCACGGCTGGCACAGCTGGCACAGCTGGCACGGCTGGCACACAGCTGGGCAGCCCTGTCCCGGAACAGCAGCGCCCAGGTGAGCACGGCTGGCACAGCTGGCACAGCTGGCACACGGCTGGCATGGCTGGCACACAGCTGGGCAGCCCTGTCCCGGAACAGCAGCGCCCAGGTGAGCACGGCTGGCACAGCTGGCACACGGCTGGCACACAGCTGGAACACGGCTGGGCAGCCCTGTCCCGGAACAGCAGCGCCCAGGTGAGCACGGCTGGCACGGCTGGCACACGGCTGGCACACAGCTGGAACACGGCTGGAACATGGCACACAGCTGGAACATGGCACACAGCTGGAACATGGCACACAGCTGGCACACGGCTGGCACACAGCTGGAACACGGCTGGAACATGGCACACAGCTGGAACGTGGCTGGCACGGCTGGAACACAGCTGTGCCCCAAGGAGCCCTCCCTGTGTCCCCAGTGTCCCCTCAATGTCCCCAAATGTCCCCCAGGCGTTCCTGGGCCCCGAGAACCCCGAGGAGCCGTACCTCGATGGCATCAGTGTCCTCTCAATGTCCCCAGATGTCACCTCAATGTCACCTCAATGTCCCCAGATGTCACCTCAGTGTCCCCAGATGTCACCTCAATGTCCCCAAATGTCACCTCAATGTCCCCAATGTCACCTCAATGTCCCCAATGTCACCTCAATGTCCCCAATGTCCCCAAATGTCACCTCAATGTCCCCAAATGTCACCTCAATGTCCCCAGTGTCCCCTCAATGTCCCCAAATGTCCCCCAGGCGTTCCTGGGCCCCGAGAACCCCGAGGAGCCGTACCTCGATGGCATCAGTGTCACCTCAATGTCCCCAAATGTCACCTCAGTGTCCCCAATGTCACCTCAATGTCCCCAATGTCCCCAAATGTCACCTCAATGTCCCCAAATGTCACCTCAATGTCCCCAAATGTCCCCCAGGCGT